TGTGTATTCAAAGTGGTTGGGATAGATATATAGTTACATTCTGTTAATGAACAGAAGGATTTGTTCTAATGGTGTTTGTAAATAGGATATCAAGTCTGCATCTTGTTCAGCAATTAACCACTAGGAAGAATGTGTGCAATGTGTTAATTATTGAAACTTTCTACCAATTTGATTTGAAACCGTCTCATTGCTATTTGTTTCTCAATAAAACTATGGAAAAAAATTAAAAAGTAAAAGAAACCTTAAAAAAAAGAAATAAAATAGGAGAAAAACAAAAAAAAATTGTGGAATCTAAATAAATACATTTTGTCTCTGTACGGCAATACCACATCATATTTTCTGAATTAGAAGCTTATTTTAAAGGTAACAAAAATATTTTGTTAACAAATACCATTTTTATCTAAAATAGCTACATCTTTCAAGACAATAAATAACTGAGAGCATGTCATGCATTCCCTTTACTCTTCTCCTTCCAGTATCTTCATTGTGTGACTTAATCGCATCCGTGGCCTTCTTACATCTGCTTCGGAATTCAGTTCATGTTACCATTACACGTCATGCAGACTCCAGAGAAGTCCACTGCACATTTACAGAAGAATGAGAATAAAACAGCCAAATAACACTTCGGTATGACCACTAAGGTTTTCTTGATCTTGAGAACTCTGCTGGAAAGGTCACAAGGACCCCCTATTCCCTCCCCAGGCATACCGCACTTGGTTTCTAAATCAAATTGACAATGGATCTAAAGTGATTTCTCAGTGCATGAAAATGTTAATATAGCTAGGTAAGTTTTCCCTCTGCAAATGTACTAAGATGTCAAAATTAATTAGATATCATCATTCCTCCCCCAAACACATCTAACCTCACTGTGCCCTAGAATTGATTGAAAAAGTTAATATCTACAATCCATTTTAGCTCAACACCCAGCTCCTGGTAAAAGCATGTTACTATTATTACAAAATCACAATCATCAGTGCAGTTGTTTAGTTCACAGGTATCACCATATATAGTTAGTCAGGGTGAGAATCCTACCAGTCAACTGCTAGTTTCAAAAACCTGCTGAAGATTCTCAGGATCATTGCCTTAACCATCTTGTGCATATAAATGCATGGTTTGCCCCTGTCATGTTTCCTAGCTTTTCTCCTTGACCTTTCTTCATTATTTAACTCTTAAGTTCTCACTTTGCTTTTAATTGTGTTATAACTTTCTAGTTTTAGTTCTTCTTTTGAGTTCTTACACTAGGGAGATTATATGATATTTACACATGTAGGTCTGGTTTATTTCACTTATGAGTATATCTTCAAGTGGCATCCACTTAATGGAATACCCATCTCTGACAAAACTAAACAAAAAAAGGGATACAAATGAAGGACCATTTTGTATCTGCATATACAGACTAGGGTAGATGTACAGCTACTTTCTCTTAATTCAATGAGAAGAAAGATTTGTACTAATAGTGTTTGGAAGGATATCATGCCTGCATCTTGTACTATGAATAACTACTATTAAGACAACAATATGAAATGTATTAGTTATTGTAACTGTCCTACTAACCTGTTTTGAAACTGTCTCATTGCTATTTGTTCCTCAATAAAATTAATGATAATAAAAAATCACAATCATAACCATTTGTGTTACTTACATTGTCTTAATTATCTTTCTGAAGTTGGTATTAGTATTTGTCACAAGTTACATCTGAGGAAAACAAGGCACAGAGAGATTAAGTGCACAAGGCCTGCCCAAGGCCCACCAGCTGCACATGGGAGATTGTGGAGTAAAGCCTAGACCTTCCACCCTTGCTGCCTTCTGTGATCTATACTTATCTCCCAAGATGATTTTTGAAATAAGAGGCTTGGGGAGAGTGACTTATAATTTCTCAGTGAAGTGTTATACTTCCATCAAAATGAAATTATATCAAGGTTCTGGAAGTATTGAAAATACCTGTCATGGGTGTTCAAATGTAAAGAGCCACATGGAAAATTGTAATTACATTGAAAGCAATTACGTAAAATATATATGTCCATGAACAAATTTTGGAATGGTTATAGTGAATAAAAATAGTGACTAGTTAGCTGTAAGGTTATGACTGATTTTATTACACTTTGAAATAATTTCTACTATACTGCTAATACAGAGGAGATGCATATCTTCTAGACAAACCTATGGGACCATTGGGATGCTAAATTCTTTAATATTTTTAATAAAATAGTCTCAGATGTCTCTACCAAAGTCTCCAACTATGTCCTTGCTGGCTTCTAAAGTAAGCTTGCTCTTCTTCAACAGTTGGCATTGGAGATAAATAAATTCTCGTTTATTCAATTCTGCTTAATTACAACTGCTACAACAGAATTGTTCCTCTTATGTTTCATTTTGACTCTGCAACCTTTAATCTACATTATTACACTAAATATGCTGTTGTGGGATGAAAATGAATGTTGTGGTGGAATTTAATTTCTAAACAAGGTCTGGCAAAACCTGTGACATTTTAGAATTAAGCTAATTTGTAAGCAAAGCACTTGCTGTACTTTCCAGAAGTCTGAAAAAAACTGAAAAGAATTAGAATCCATTAGAAGAGGAGCAGATAAAGGCACATTTATTAGGACTAATTGGAGGGTTCCTTCAAACACAGGAAAGGTAACAATGAGAGGAACACACAGGTTAGGTACAACCATTGTTTAGGACACAGTTGAGAGCTGGTGTTCAGTGCGCTGGCCCAAGCAAGAGGTTTTCGGAATGGCTCATTGCCTAGAGGCAACTTGGATTTGCTTGGAAACAGGGTTAACTGAAAGGGTTCAGTTACCATGGATGTCTGAATGCTCTAGGCTGGAGCCCAAGAAGAACAGTCCATCCCATAGAGCAGTAGCTAAAACCTGATGTTTTTTATTTCCTTCACTTTTGTGCATTCTAAAAAGAAAGACCAATTTATTGCTTCACTCTTTTAAACACTGTTTGGTGATTTTTCCTTCTGCCTGACTGTAGGTTTTGGATAAGGTCAGCACTGGGTAGAGGTGCCCCTTTGTGAAGCCCAAGCAGGGAGGTAGAAAAGGGGAAAACCCAGACAGCAAAGGAGCTGGGTAGTTTTCCTTGGACCTGAATCAGAGACTACAGAAAGATTTCCTTTGCAAGTACCTGGGGTAGCTGAGCACGGATATCTTCAGATCCAATGAATATACTTTCCAGGTGAGACCAGGTGCGCTGCACCTCCAGCCAGATGCAGATGACAGCATCAGCAGTGGACAGCTTCTTTTGCCAGCCTGATACTTCCTCCAGGAAGAAGGCAACGTACTTGGACATCATCAAGTTCTGAAGTTGGACTTGATTATCTTCTAGTACCTCAATGAGGTCCTCATCTGACCTCATAAGGGGGACGTGGGTCCTCGGGTGGGGCTCATACTGGAATTCCATACTAGCCCAAGTGCTCTGCAGTTCCCTCAGGACCTTCTCCATCGCCATCTCTTTCACAGCTTTGTCTACAATGCCCCGGACCTCATCCTCAAAGAGGTGCAGCTGGAGCTGCAGGAGGTGGGCCAGGGTGGTGTCTTTGTCTATCGTGAAGCTCACACCCGTGGCGTGCATCAGCTGTTTCCAGTGTCGCTCTCGGATGGCAGGGTTCTGTAGCTCATTGACTGCCCGTAAGGAAGTTAGGGTGTTTATCACAGTTCTTTCTAGGCCCATGAAGGCATCCCAGGTCCTGACCTCCTTGTCGAGGTTACGGATATGTCGGGCAAACCATTTGCATTCCGTGTCCATTGCTTCCACATTGATGTCCCTCCACGCGGTGGCTTCCCAGGCACGGATACTGGAGGTCACCATGCCGATAGTGTCCCACAACGCCTTCAGCTGGCAGGCTTCCTTCCTGCACTTCTTCAGCTGCTTGTAGTCAGGAATGCTGACTTCAAACAAGCCAGCGGACTCAGAAATGGAGGCCATGGTGGATTCCATCTGTTGGATCTCGATGTGCCTCATGTCCAGGATTTGGTGAGGAGTGATGCTATCAAACCTAGAAAACACAATATGTTCTCTTGGTAAGCACAGTACATGGGGTCCCATTCCTACAATCGTCACAGGAAATGCTACTAAGTATTTCCACAAAAAAGCAATGACTTTCACTAAAGCTTCTTATCTTGGAAAGAAACGACATTCAAGACACACTGAGATGGAGAATAAGGAGGAGTGCATTCAATAGGAACATCATGCTTGGATCTTCACACCTGAGAAGGTAAATGAAACACCTCTCTTTTCTTCTAATTTCCAAGTGTGCCCATCCAGGTGTAGAGAGCAGTACCCTCTTATTCAAGCCCCTGTTAGATTCAGCCCTTCATTTAGCTCTTGGCTTCTGGGACTTTACTTGATACAAAATAGCCTTGTCACACTCCTACAGCAACTGGAGAGCCAAAGCCCCTTCAAGAAAGCAGTGGTGGACAATCCTTTAGTGAGGGGTAGCTTAGTTACTTTTCTCATTGCTGAGATCAAATACCCATCACCCAAAATTAGAGGAGGAAAGATCTGTTAGCTCACAGTTTGTAGAAGTTTCAGTCCATAACTTGCTGGCTCCACATCAGGGTGGTGCATGGCAGAAGAGCAACAGTTCATGGTGGGGGAAGACAGCAAAAGCAACAAGCAAGAGCAAGACAAGCTTCTTTCTGCCCCTTATATCAAATCCAGCCTCCTGGGATTAGAGTAGTGTCAATCCAATCAGTGGACTGATTCACCCCCCCTGAATCCCACACTCTTAATCCCAGCATTGCACTACTATCAATCACATGCTTTGGATTCAACCACCTCTGATAAAACCCTATGACTCCATGAGGCTGTGTGGTGTGGGGGCATGTAGACACAAACCATAGCAGGGAGCCACACATAGAAATCTAAGCCTGACCTGCTCTGGCATTGATCTCTCTTGGTCTATGGCTCTCAAGCCTGGCTGCATGTGAGGACTTTTGTTTCTGATGAATATAGTTTTGTCCACACCACTTGAATCAGAATCATTTGGATTAGGATTCAGGATATAGCATTTTTCAATTTCCCTTGATGATTGTTTTCCTCTCCTCTCTTCTCCTTTTCCCTCCTCTCCTCTCCTCTTCCCTTGCCTCCCCTCCTCTCTCCTGCCTCCCCTCCCCTCCTCTCTTCTCTCCTTTCCTTTTTTCTCCCCCTTTCCCTTCCACCCAATGGTTCTTCTTTGTCATTGTCTCAAGAAGCATCTTCATCGGGGTGTGTAAACAACTTCCTAGGTGGGGATAAGGAGGCAACCAATTTGCATATCTTATTACTTTTCTCTTTTGGTATTGGGAATCAGATTCAGGACCTTGCAATTGCCAGGCAGGTGCTGTGCCATTATTACTTATTTTTTGAAAATTGTTTTTGAGGTAATAAATCTTTGGGTTGGGGAGATATCTCAGCGGCATAAGTGCCTGGCTGGTGAGAGCAAGGTCCCAAGTTCGATACCTTGTACGGCAAAAAAAAAACCCAACCAACTGACCCAGCAAACAATCCCCCCCAAAGAAACCCAACCAGAGAGACAAGAAAGAAGAAACAAAAACAAAAAGCCAACTTTTAAGTCAGGGGACATGTATTATATCGAAATCCTAGCACCTGCATCACTTTTCTCTAACTCCACTATTGAGAACACAGCCTCATTTCCTCCAGGAAACCCTAAATTATGTGAATGCACCAGGTTGACTAAAAGAACAAGAGCGAGCTGAACCAATGACATGTGCTAGGACACTGATATGTCCCTGGGAGATTTAATGATCAATGCTGATCTTCAGCTTTTGAGGAGACTGTGGATACTGGGCAAGTGGGGCCCGAGCCC